TGATTTCTTCCACAGAAATAATTTTACTATAAAGAACAAGAAGGTTTTTAGGACCAACTATTTTCCAGCTTCAAAACTGATCCAAAAGCTGTTCTGCGCATGACAAATGACCATATAAGACCAGTGAAAGGGACGAGAAATTAAAATCTGGGTAACTGGCTAACAAAAACTGGGGCAGTAGCTGAGAAAGCCAAACTATTTTAAAACTCTGTAACACCATAAAGATGAGAAGACAAACACAGAGCCACATAGAGGTTGAGAAGTGTTGGAGAAACATTAAGTGCACACTGTACCTCTACAGTCCAGATGTACCCATTACTTCATTTTTTGGGGTCCTTGCACAGCTACAGTTAAGACCAGAACAGGGCATGAGATATATGCAGATGCAAGCATGCAGCCCCAAGGCTCTGCCTTTTTCAAGGTCATGCTTTGTCCTACTTCCCATACAGCTGTATCCATAACTTCAAGACTAAGGTTTGCAGCATTGGAGGCTTAGTGCTCTTCTAGTTTTCTACAACTGGGGAAATAGGATCCCGGTAATAGTATGGTTTACTTAGGCCCTGAGCTCATGACAGGATGAATACTGCATTCCACGATACCATATCAAGCCCTGTGGATAACAGCATACATTGCTCCCTATAAAGAATGAGGAAAGGAAATAGCTGACCTTTCCAAGAGACTGACTGGGCTTCGCTGGATGGAATATGGCTACTTTCTGAGGAAGTTATACTGGTTCTTAAATCTAATGTGGCTAACTTGGTGATGTCCTTTCATCACTGCTGGCTGTAGAATGGTTCTCAGTGTGATACATATCTATGTGATGTGCCTCAGCTATCTAAATAATAAATGTAAACTTTATCTAGGAAGGCACAGGAGGAACTAAGAAGAGGGTGGCAATTAAATCACCCAAATAATGTGTAAAAAAATATAAGAAGGAGACAGCTGAGAAAGAGAGGCTGAAAGAATTGCAGGAAGCAAGGTAGGCTCATGGACGTAGCAGGAAAGCGTCAAGGATGCTGACCAATAAAATAAAGAAATTGGAGAAGATTATGGGCATGTTGGATTATAAATCTTGGGATGCTTTCAGAGAAAGGTAGTATGAAGCTATTCTGGATTTTTCTCATTGATTTTTGTACAGTTTGTACAGTTAGTGCTCAGTGTATCTTTGATTAGAAATTAACCGTGGAAAACATTAAATTACATTTAAATACATTAAATTGTTTTAACAATGTAAGTAAGAATTTAAATATCTAAGTGCCAAAATCTCCACTGTTGTTTAAAAATACAAAAAGAAAAAAAGAAAAAAAACCTACTAAAAACATTATAGATAAGTATTCATTTCTAACTTCCCCTTTATCATACTTTGACTAATGTACAATATTTGCAAGTAGCCCTCTGTTAATGACCACAATTGGGACCAGCAATTCCATCACTAAGAGACACGGTCATTAAGCAAGACATCATGTGACTGTGATGGACTTATGACCTCACTTCTGCTGTGGTCATTAAGCAAATCACCCACAGTCATTAAGCGAGACATCACGTGACCGCAACTTGCAGTTTTACTGCTGGCTTCTCCATTCACTCCATTTGTCAGTATCCAACTGTGAAGCACACAAATGGCGATCACATGACCACAGGATGCTGCAATGGTTATAAACACCTGCTGGTGGTGAAGTGCCTGAATCTTGACCATGTGACCGTGGTGACACTGCGACATTTAAGTGCAAGGACCGGTCTAAAATTACTTTTTCAGCAGCATCGTAACTTTGAACGGTCACTATACAGGGCAGTCATTAAGCAAGGACTATCTGTATAGACGTTTGAAAATTTGTGTGTATCTCTGATTTCAATTCTTTACTCAGTTTTTTTTCCCCTTAAAAACCTGGATACGTATATGCCTTATGTGTAATAGGGAGCATGGTATGGAAGCCTGACTAAAATTTAGTTAGACTTCTGTTGTGAATATATGCTGTTACTTTTGCCATTACTGCATATTCTCCAAGTTTAAGTTCCCAGTCTGATATCTTCAGTAACATTTCTTTTCCAATGTTGTGTGCAATTTCTCTTTGTTGCCATCTTAGTAAATTGTGATTTTTTTTGCTGATATATTTTTGGAATTATGCCTAGTAAAGAAATTGTGGTTTCATTTCAAATTTGATTTCTAACCATTTCTGAGCAGTACTGTGTATTTCTTTCTAGCACTTCTGAGTATTTCTACATGTCCACATGTGGTAAAATGCTCCTTCTGTCTCTTGGCATTTCCAGTATTTATTAATGTATGATTCGTCTACTTGGCAATTACTGACAAATTGTACACTACCTATAAAACATTTATACCAGTTTTCTCTTAAGTTATAACTTGGAGTAAATTTTACAGATTCGTTCCATAATTCTTCCCATTGTTGCATTGTGACTGTTTCTTTAAAGTTTTGCATCCAGTTTATCGTGCAATTTTTATTTGTTCTGCCTCCAGCATCCACTCCTTTCAATTGGCTTGTGTGGTTGATTCAGAAGCTGCACCCAGCTGACTCCACATCTATGTGCACATCCAACCACTCTGCCTCATGGTTTCTCCCAAGGTTATTTTCAGGAAAATAAGGAACCAATCTGGGCTCATTCTACAACCACCTTCCCAAGCCAGTACCCTCCAAATTTATTGGATTTCAATACCCATGAACCCATCCAAACATAGCCCTCAAACTGGGGAAGGAATGTATGCAACAAAATGACAGTAAGGAGGAAGGTTACAAAACATAGAGCAGCAATCTTTAATGGATGAAGGACAAGGTGCAAAAACCAATGGGAAATCTGCTCCAATGGGGCCTTGGATTTTGGTATCATTTTCAAACAGCATGAATGAATTACAGGCAAATGTTGTTTGGATGACTTACAGAATTGAATGACTGACTGTGTATGCACCTTACAAAGGAGGCAATCACGTGACACTGCCATAGATGCACAGTACAGCACTGCAACACCTGACATGGTTGCAAAAGCAAACCAATGCACGCCAAAAAGTGATACACAATCCTGAAAATAACCATTGGTTGTGACTTTTGAAAGCAGCATCTATCCATATGTGGGGGGTTTTTTGGTCAGTTATGCACAACTAATCTGACATAACATTTTTTACATTCATAATCAATGCCAGTAATCCATTTTTTAAGCACCTTCTTGATGTTGGTTGGCCTAGTGTTACATGTTACATGCCCTCTTCTGAAACTGGAGAAAGCTTTCAGCAACTGACCTTGATGAATTGAACAAAGTCATGCTGTATTTTTAGCTTTTGTTTAGTTGTAAACAAAATGCTAGGTTCTCCTGACCCCAAGAGAGCCCCGTAACCTATACTAACCATGGTGAAACCACTGGGGCTTCTTTGTAATTTCTCTGAATGTAGTTCCCAAGGGAGAGAATAATGGCTAAAGATTAAAAATGAACTTAAGGATCAAGCTAGTAACATCCACACAGACACTGTCAAATTTCTAGCCAATGCATTATCGAAAAAACAAGTTAATTCTTAGAGTCTACAGTATTCTGCCATTTGACCATAATCAAGTTTGTTGTAGTCTATGGCACTTCAGTGGTCCTAAAACATTTTCATATGGTGCACAGCACTTATATTTTAAAATATATATCCATTGCTTAATCTATTCTAAGTGGGTTTCATTTTCTGAATAGGCTGCACAGCAGCCCTCTCACTATTTCTTCATTTCCACACCCTACCCACATTCACTGGATCTTGTGGGATCTTTGCAGCCTGGATTCGTTCTCCTGAATTACTGAAGAGTGGAACTGTCTTCATCCCCTGCATGCTAGCCAACAGCTTTTCTATCTCATTCCTCTTGGAGCATCTGGGAACACCTTACCTTCCTATAATTAAATATGCATGACTGAAATAACTTCATAGAAATTAATGATGACCAACATTTACTTAGTTCTCAGATGGGACTAGATGTGCATTTATTTACCAAAAAAAATTCTATTTTGTATTGTGATTGACTGCATTATGATCCTAACCATGCAGTACTAGAGTGTGTTCTGGCAGCACATTTAGAGGGAAACTTCCACTACAACCCAACAACCTGACATACTGGTTTTAGAGCAAGCACTAATTTGTTAAATGCACATCCCAAAGCTTTTCTCAAACTAGCTTTAAAATTAAGAAGAATGTGCCTTTCATAATTGACAGTTGTGGTGCCTGCCCTGCAGAGATTCTAGTCCTCTTTTGCAGTTTACTTCCCTCTGCCCCAACACATTTTTACAGATAGATCTTGAGCCTAAATAGGTCTCCAGATACGTATATAAATAGAGTCTTTCTGAACATATGGCCTCTTATTTTCTAAATCCATATTAAAATCTATGGGTGCTGTAAACCTAATCCCTTATTCCTCCAATATCTAAGCAATGCAATGACTGACTATATACATTAATTTTTGATTAATGACAGAGGTGCTCCTGCTAAATCACACAGACATTATTACTTGAAAAGAATGCAGTTGGTAAGTGCCAGCTTAGAAGAGGCATTTGTTCTTGAGTAGAAAAGAAAATGGAATGCCTCTTCTAAAATGATGCCTGCTGGGTAAATGTATGCATTAGCTAAAGAAAAGGTGACTTTTAAAAAGAAGGAGCATTTTTATCATTTGAAAATTTACAGAAATTTACTGACTAAAACACATGTGAGTAATTGTTTTGGATTAATTAGGCAACACTTGTGTTCAGCATGTCAAAATACCAACATCTGTGTTTCTGACAGAGGATGCCAAGTATATGGTCAGCACAGAGCAATTTTTCTTTATTCAAAACTGTATAAAACCCAGAGCCCTACAGATGATTTGGGCTTCTAGGTCCATACTTTCTAATTGAAATCCAACACATCTGGAGGGTACCATGTTAGGGACGGCTGATAAATAACAAATGAGTGATGGATCCCCTTCAGCATTATTTAACATTTTTATCAGCTGGCCTTACCTTTCAGTGTTTCCTGTACAGTATGTGCAAAGACTGCTAATTTGTGACTATTGTGATTCTTCACAGAATTTTCTCCAGTGGCCGGTAATGGTACTAAATGCAAGTTAACCAGTATTAAATCATTCACTCCAACCTAGGGACAAGCATAGGCAGCATTAAGTGATTTTCAAGGGTCTCTTCATACAATACATCATAAATGAAAAATCTCTCCTGATTGCTCACCATTGTTCTCATCAATACCATCATTTCTCATTTGCAAAGAGACACATTCTTATTAACAATCACAAACAGACCTCTGATTTGGTTTGTATCTTTGGGAAATATATTACTATCAACTTTTATTAGGATATATCTAACACCAGACTATAAACCCAGGAGACAATGCTACTACTTTTAATTCCTCAGTGAAAGTTAAAAAAATAATTAAAATGCAAATCATGCCTGTGCTATTTAATTTCCAACCCTTTCTTGAATTCTTCTAGCTGGGAAAGGCAAGCTGTTTAAGCACCCTTACCTTGAAATGTGCAATGTAAGGGTGAGGATGGACCTGTCTCCCATTGCCATTTGTGTGTGTGCCTTCAGAGGAGGTAGCATCTTTCAGCTCTATCCCCGCAGTTGTGTCCCACAGGAAGCCAGAATATTCTATGCACTGAAGGCCAAAAGAGAAAAAATTGCTAAGCGAAACAACTCATCATTAAAAATGGCTACCTTAAGTCCTATTGATTCCAATCAGCCAAGTCTAAGCATCATTAAATTTGGATCCAACCAAAGTTGATGTTTTATATAGGCTAGGGGGTTAGTTACGGTATTATTTTGTTTGTATGCTATCCAGAATCTGTTGGTTGGTATGGCATATAAATACTGTAAAGTAAATAACAATCATAATATAAATACAAGTATACACTTGATGAGGGCTACTGAAAAAAGAGCTAAAGACAGGAGTCTTGTTTTGATTAAGAAGGTATTGGTTAATCATTAAAAAAATGATTTTTTAAATCACAAAATGGAATTTCTGTGATTCTCATTTACTTTATCAGTCTTTTGTGAATTCAGTATACACACTACCATGAGTCACTGGATTAAGATTTCAAGATCCATAATTAAATACACCAATATAGACATTTTATAGCTAAAATGGAATTTTAAAAATCTCTGCAGCCTGACAAAAAACTTTCTGAAATCAATTACAGTCCACAGGAAAAACAGTTATGAAAAGTCACCTGAAAGTGTCAAGAAAAATTCTGTCCTTAGCTCAAACAAAAACTACAGAAGGTTTTCCAGTAGTTCAAAAAGCTATAATAATTTCCTTGGCTAGATAAAAGCAAAACTTAATAAAAAGTCCATAATTCTTGACTTGCACCAGACTACCTTCTCGAGATGCCCTGAGAGCTTCTCTGAAACGACTCCCTTCCAATATCCTCGAGGACCCTTCCATCTGCGGATGTTTGGCAGAGTCGGCTGGTTTAACTCCATGCAAAACTGCAAGAGGTTGGGTGGGAAGAGAGAGAATTTATCATACTGGAGCATTTCTAGGTCACTCTTAAATTTCATAGGCAGAAGTAAAGGAACAACCACCTTTCCTCAGTGAAATATATTTGAAGAACTGCATTTTGTTAATATTATTACTCAAATGTTATTTTTTGCACACCCAAGAAAAGCAGGTTATGAAAACAATTAAATTAAAAGAATATTTAGGGCCAGATACTTTGATGGCCAAGCAGGCCAGTCATTTTCAAATCTGTACACATAAATAGTTAATGTGAAAGCACCAGCCTTGGGCCAAAAACAGTGCATCAGTTAATTAAGGCAGCAGAAAGGCTTTGGGCAGTTCCCCTTCTATTCAGGAGGTCCAGAACAAGATACAAAGATTGGTTTCCTGGAAGAAAAGGGAAGGCTGCTATATGACAGTGTGTTGTTGTTGTTCAGTCGTTAAGTCGTGTCTGACTCTTTGTGACCCCATGAACCATATTG